CCCAGAGGTTGTTTCAGGGTTCTATCTGTGAGTTAGCCATGCCCTGACTTAGATCAGCCCAGAGTTTGTTTCAGAGTTAGATCTGTGAGTTAGCCATGCCCTGACTTAGATCAGCCCACAGCTTGTTTCAGTGTTCTAACTGTGCGTTAGCCATGCCCTGACTTAGATCAGCCCAGAGCTTGTTTCAGGGTTCAATCCGTGAGTTAGCCATGCCCTGCCTTTGATCAGCCCAAAGGTTGTTTCAGGGTTCTATCTGTGAGTTAGCCATGCCTGACTTTAGATCAGCTCAGAAGTTTTTTCAGGGTTCTATCTGTGAGTTAGCCGTGCCCTGACCTGACTTTGATCAGGGCAGAGGTTGTCCCACCAGGGTATAGATAAAATTTAAAGTTTTTTAAAAAGTTAATACTTAACGAAAAACTTCAAATTTATACTTACAGGCGCCCTTCAGAACATCCAGCGAAACCACAGGGTTACCACAGACACCTCTCTCCAACTCGTTCCATGTCAACAGCATCATTACTGATTCAGGAATACAAGATACGAGACCTTTCCTGATGGCCAGTACCTTATCACGAAGGAAAATATAAATAAATAAAAAAAAGGAAGAAAAAAAAAAAAAGAAAAAAAAAAAAAAAAGAAGTACCTTATCACGAAGCAAAAAAAATTATTTCAATAATTAATGATATGCACAATACATGGCTCCTTTTAAAGTTTTCTTTGTCAGCTAAGAAAACACCTAAAAGTAAAATTTTTTCTTATCTATTTGTAATTCGGTTGTTTATGGGTTTTTCTTTTTCTCTCAACGCGCAGAACATTTTGCGTTTATCCAATATATATACTTATTTCAATAGCGCAGCGCAACCGTGACGTCATGAAAACGAAGACAAAGGCGAAATTCGGACAAACAAACTTACAAGTTTACTTTCAGCAGATAATTTTCACAGCCGATCGCAGTTGATCTTAGTTTACATGGGTTATCATTGTAACTTTAAGTTAAAATAATAAAATCGGTTCGTATAATCCTCGTAGCGGTTAAACAGAATGCAATGTTTGTCCGAATCTTTAAGCCATTTTTAGAATCAGTGCGCTGCGCTATTAAATTAGTCACCAAAAACCTGGAAAGCTGTGATTGCTGAGAATCCCTTCCCCCTGAAGCCCCAGCGCTCCCACCCCCTCCCACTCCCAATAAAAAAACGAACCTCCCCTAACTGTTCTTAAACGTCCTTAACCTGTTTTTGTGTACTTACCTGTTTAACAGATTCTGTCATTCTTGCTTCTCTCAGCAGAAAGGCGAATCGAGTTCGATCACAAGTCATTACTCCTTTTGTCTCTCCATGTGGTATGAGGTCAACTCTAGTRCCGTCACTTAATACTGTACTAAACTTGCATTCGTTGCCGTACGTGGCAAGGTACAGTTCTTCGTCCACCAGCTCTAACTCGTCTGACAAATATATTCCATAAAACGCATTAAACATAATGGTGTTTTGGCCCCTGGGGGCGATGCTACTTCTGAGGTATTGTGCGAGATAGGTGGGGATCTAGAGGAAGGGTGTCACTGGGTAGTCGGCCTACGCTCGATCTTGTTCGGTTTATACATCATCATTATCATCATCAGCCCCACCGTGACCTATATGAATGTCATGGCCACCATCGTCAAAAATGCTATCATCATCAGCAGCAGCAGCAGACGCATCATTATCATCATCATCATCAGTATCATTGCCATCATACACCATCATAACCAATATGATGTCATCAGCATCATGGCCATCATTACCAAAAAGTTTAGCATCATTATCATCATCATCAGCAGTATCATCGTCATCATACACCATCATGACCAATATGATGTCATCATCATAATCATCATGGCCATCATTACCAAAAAGTTTAGCATCATTATCATCATCATCAGCATTATCATCGTCATCATACACCATCATGACCAATATGATGTCATCATCATCACGATGGCCACCATCACCAGAAACCCTATCAACATCATCATCTAAGTATCATCGTCATCATACACCATCATGACCAGCATGATGTCATCATCATCATGACGGCCACCATCACCAGAACCCCTATAAACAGCAACATCTAAGTATCATACCTGTGAATCTGACAGCAGCRTCATCGACAGCAGCAAAATCCTTGGCCCAAGTAACGTGAGCACCTATAAGTAGCTTCCAAAACAACGGTGGACAAGTCAGTGTCAGGTTCTCATCACTRCGGTAAACAGCACCAAATAGCTTCCCTAGCCACTCGTACACTGCCCACTGCTTGCACGAAGGGTTTGGAATGTAGGARTCCTGGTAATCGCCAACATTATCCTGAAAAAATGATTGAAAATAATATAAGGAAGTGCAAAACCGTGTCGTTTAAATGAAAGAAAGAGGGACTAAGAGAAAGCAATGGGTGATCATAGAAATGCCGCCACGGAAACCCTCGCGTTTATTCGTGTTGTAGAARTGGCATTTGCAATAGACCCCTTGCATTGCTTTCTTAGAGGAATTGTTCTGGGGGTCAAAACAATGGGCCGTCTTCAGTTTCTTATGCAACAAAAAAAAATCCATTGTCTTGTCCCCCAGAACGATTCCTCTCGGGACTCAGTGCAAGGGGTCTATAGTTAGCTCTTCAGCATTGAACARAGTTGTAAAATGCGTGCAGGTGCTTTTTTTTATCATCTGGAGAGTGTGCTGAACGTTGAACAAAACAGAAAAAAGACATTTACAAAAAACAAGTGTGTGAATATTTTTGTCTTTTCTCGTAATTTAACTACTAGTATAGCGCTGCGCATTTATCGATCAGATATCTTCACAATCTCGTATCCAGAGCC